TGGGGCAATACTCTTAAGTGAAATAAATAGGACAGATGTGTAAATACCAAATGGTTCCTCTGGTGTGAGAAACTGAAAGTGTAAATAAGAATCAAAAGACATAATAGATAATGTGAAATAGGAAGAAAAGGTCCAAAGGGGAGGGGTTGGGGAAAGGAAAGAAGGGAATGGCATTAATATGAGAAAAAGGAAAAATGGAAACAAAGTCTTTGTAAAGAGGGAAGAGTAGAAAGGTTGAAGGGAGGGCAGGGGAAGGGGGAAAAAATAAGAACCAAGATATATTATGTAAAGGTACAAATTCCCAATGATGAATGGCATCATACTGTATACCTAAAATGTACCAATAAAATTAATAGTAAAAAAGAAGAATAGGAGGCACTACACACATTTAGCCAAGAATGTAAGATAACTACAGAGCATAAGGTGGTTCTGCAAAGCAAAGAAATGTCCCATATGCTAGAGCATTGCACATTTAGACAGGAGGGAAACCTGCTTAAAATAACCTGAGCCTAAAAAATATCTGTACTTTGGAAATAAATACAATGTATATTTGCACACCTGCATTGTACACAGAATGTCCCAGGAATTCAACTGTGTAAATTAAAAAATTATTTTTCTGGTTGTCATTGTTCAGAATGGTACCAAGAGTTGTTCAGCATTTAGAAAATGACACTCCTGAAAAAAACAATCCTGCTTATAGTATCTGAGTTACCTAAAACATCTAACCAGTTTGCATTTGTAGTTGTCACAGAGATTCTGCAGAGGTGCTAATATTTATTTATCTTCTACTGAGGTCACGTGCAATCATTTATGCATAAAACATGTATTATTTTATTCTACATTTATTATGCATTATACCATATTATATGGTACTTTCCTTTATTTCTTTTTTGTAGTATCTTTAGAGAATTCTGAGGCCAGATTCCCAGGAAAGCAGACTCTTGAGGTTGCAGATTTGTGTGCTGAAGCTTTAATGAGAGATACTCTTGGGTTAGCACCATGAAGGGGCTGTGGGAAGCAGAACTGGGTCGAGGAAGATGTTGAGCTGCGATGCTGTCATGACCACAGCCCCAGCCAATTCTGCAGTGCATCTGGAGCTCAGATGGTCCTCTGGAGCTGTTTGTGTCACCCCACCTGGATGTGGACTGTCCCCGGAGAGGTGATGCACAACCTTAAACAAAGGCCATTCCCTTCAGCTGGGGGCTATTCTCAGAGAAAGTAGTTTGGGAGCCACTGGACAACAATATTCCGGAAGTTAGGGAAATGGATATCTTGGTACTATCGGAGGGTCTGGGCATAACACCATGGCATCTAGTGCTTGGATTATTATATTGAGTTTTTGAAAGCGTGTGTGAGGACAAGTTATAATTATATCTGAATTTCATTTCAGTATTAAAGGGATAGCACAAAACATTTGTGATTTTATTTTTAAAATTTTTAATTTTATTAGTACATGTTTGCAATTCATTCAGTTTACCGTCGTCTTGGGGAGTGGTTACATACAACAGCTTTTTTTTCATTCCTTTCCTTTACCTCCCCCTTCCTCCCTCCTCTTCCAATTCCCCAATCTCATTTTTCATTCTTGTTGATATTATTAATCTTAGCTCACATTATGGCATATAATGTTTACATTAATTGAGGTTATTAGGTTCCTGTACATGGGACATCTTTATTTTAGTTATTTCCCCTTCCCCTCCTCCTCACGCCTCATGCTTTTCAGAGTCCAGAGTGCTAACCATTACACAATGGAACCCGCCTCCCTCATGCTTTTTCCCTTGGACTATTTCCCTATTTCAAGAGATCCATCTCCTTGTTCCCTTCTAGCCATCCTTTATTATTCTCTTTGTACTTTGCCTCACTCAAATGAGAGATATAATTTAGTATTTAAGCTTGTCTGTCTGGTTGATTTCACTCAACATTATATTTTCTAGATGCATCGATTTTCCTAAAAACGTCTCAAATCTGTCATTCTTTATAGCAGAGTAGTATTCCACTACATATAAATACATTTCCTTTATGCAATTACGTGTTGATGGGTATATGGGCTGTTTCCAGGATTTAGCTATTATGAGTTGTGCTGCTATAAAAATTGGTATGCATGTATCACTGTAATATGATGTCTTAAGGTCTGTGGGGAAGATACCCAGCAGGAGGACTGCTGGGTCATATGAATTTCTAATTTCTGTTCTTTGAGAAATCTACATGATTTCCATAATGGTTTTACTAGATTGCATTCCCACCATCAATGAAGAGGTGTTCCTTTTTCACCACAGTCTCACTAGCATTTTTTATTTTTGATTTCTTAATGATTGCCATTCTTTCTGGAGTAAGACTGAATCTCAGCGTTGTTTTAATTTGCATTTTTCTATGGCCAGAGACGTTGAACATTTTTTCATATATTTGTTGACCATTTGTATTTCTTCCTCTATGAAGTGTCTGTTCATTTCTCTTGTCCATTTTTTGACTGGATCTTTAATTTTAGGTGGTTTAATTTTTTTTAATTCTTTGTATATTCTACATATTAGTACTTTGTCTGAGGAGTAGCTGGCAAATTTTTTCCCATTCCATAGGTTGTCTCTTCACTCTATTGATTGATTTTTTTTTTTTTGCTCTACAGAAGCTTTTTAGTCTGATATAATCTCATATGTTGATTCTGATTTGTTGATTCTGTTATTTCTTGTGTAACAGAGATTCTGTTTAGAAAGTCCTTTCCCACACCTGTTTATTCAAGTGTTTTCCCCACTTTATCTTCCAGTAGGTTTAATGTTTGTTTTAATGCTTAGATCTTTGATCCATTTTTATTTTAATTTAGTATATGGTGAGAGATAAGGGCCCAGTTTCAATTTTCTGCACACAGATAACCAGCTTTCCCAGCACCACTTGTTGAGTTGGCTGTCTTTTCTCCGCCATATGCTTTTGGCTGCTTTGTCAAAGATCAAATAGCTGAATGTGCTCTGAGGTGAAGAAACTACATAGGGAGCTAAGATGAGGGAGAAAATCTAGACACCTATTAAATCACAGCCAATTAAAGAGCAAATACACAAATGCAACAACTTAATAAACACAGAAAACCATAAAGGAACATAACATAACCCCACATTACTAAATAAATGAAGAAACATACAAAAACATAAACCTACAAGATGTTTGATGGGAACACAGATTAAATAATTCCAATGAGACACCACATACATGATTCCCAAGTAGCTTCTTTGCCAGAGAGTCTGAGTGTTCGCACCCAATAACTCCTCTGACCCCTCCATCTCAATACTGAAGCTAACTCAGACTCAAGACTTCTTTCTGCCAGGTTGCAGGCATTCTTGCGGTCTGGTCCAGTCTAAGTTCATTGGGTTAGGAACTCTTGCTGTCCCTCTCCCTGGGTATGATGGTGGATTTGGCAGGTTCCCAGCACAAAATTATCCACTGAGTCAGGATTATTCCTATGCAATCAAATCAGCTACAGCAGTAATAGGCTAATCCATTACAGTGGTATATATCAGGGCTAGTTGAAAAATAACACACCATGAGACTCTGTTTTGGGTCTCCTGTTGGCTTAGAGAAGAAATCTATAGTTATAGTGTAGATATCACAACAGCCCAAGTCTCGACCCACAGTTAATGTGGACTAAATCCAATGGCTGTTTCTCCTCTCATGAAAAACAGCATTGAACAGTAATTTTATTGAATCATTTATTTAATGCCCAGAGCATTGGGGACTGGGTATGCCAGAGCAAAAAAGAGAAGAGAAAAAGGAATATATATATATTTTGTTACCAGGGATCGAACTTGGGACCTTGCGCTTGTGAGGCAGGCGCCAGAACCACTGAGCTAACTCCCCGGCCCCCCCCCAAAATTTTTAAGTCCTCTCTTCTGTGGGATGGGAAGAAGGAAATGGGAGGGGGACGAAGGATCCTAATGATGGTAAAGATATGTTATATATTTAGAAGGGGTTAACAGGGAAAATGGTACAAAATTGGTAATGAGAAATGGGGATGGGAAAAGATTCTGTGACTGACATAAATATTAGAGAAAAAGTTAAAGGGAGACAAATGAAAATGGGGAGAGGAAAGAAAAGAAAAATTGAGAATGAATAAGACACAGGAGAAAGAAGTCAGGTGAAGAGATATGGAAAAAAGTAAAGGCACAAGGGAGAATTCCTTCACCGTCTATGAACTGTATTGGGAGAAAAGGGGCAAAAGGAAGAGACACACACATGGACACACTCTAGAAGAAAAAAGGTAAAATAATAGAATAAAAGTAAGGGATTCGATCCCCAGTACCAGAATAAAAGTAGGGGAGAAACGTACAGAAGGAAGAAAACAGCAAAGACTTAAAAAAAATTTTAAATTTAAATGAGTAAAACAAAAATAGAAAATGAAAAAATAATACAATCAAAGAATTAAGTGGAAGTTTTCTATTGTTCTGGACACACACTCTTTCCTCAGCCTAGGGTTAAGGAGCAGAGCTCAGGCCATGATATCTCTGTTCACGCCGGAAGTCTAAGGTGGCAGTCTGCCCCCAGAACAGTGCTGGGAGTGGAGATCTGCTCACAGTGAGGACACAGAGCCAATGTGAGCTTCCGATCCTGTGTAGCTCAGGCCGAGCCTGTGTTCAACAGCCCCTGCCTCTCAGCAGGACTCCCCCAAGTCTGCTCTCCAGCTGCCGGCAGTGTCCGCTGACTGCCCTTCCCTCATCCACTCTGAGAACTTGGCCGTGTGAAGCAGTCAAGTGGCTTCTCTGGAACCCGGGTTCAGACGCTCAGCCCTTCCCTGCAATGGCGTCTCCGCAAGCTCTTGCTCCACGGCTGTGGCTGCGGGCACTCGTACCCGGGTTACTCACCAATGTTGACTGTGGAAGGCCGCTCTGGAAGCAGTTTCCCACATTTTCCTTGCTGGTTCGAACTGCCAATGATTTTTTTGGTACCAATGTAGTTCTCCAGTTCTCTGTGAGCAAAAAAGTTGTTAGCTTGACTTTGCGTCCCTGATGGTGGCTAGCCAGCCGGTGTGGCAGCACTGCACAGTCTGTCCTCCGTGCAGTGATCTATTTCTTCTGTATCACTTAATCCTATTTTCTTCTCCTCTGTCAGTTCCCTCAGAGTTCCCGCATAACTTCACTTATTCAGTTCCTCTCCAACCTATTGTTTCCCAGACCCTAGACACTTTGTCCTGGAGAAGCTGAGTTTTGGCACTCACTGCTCCACCATTTAGGACTCCCTAATATTCGTAATTTTAGATGGGTCATTTAATCTCATAGCATTGGAGATCACTTATTACAAAATAGCAAGTATGCAAATTTCCTATGACATAATTTAAAAATATTCATGGACCAAGACCATTCCATATTCATGTATTAATTTATTTCATGGGAATTAACACTAAGAGTTATTTAGTTTGGTTACTTGCCCATGGTTGTTATTTTCCACATCATTTACTATTTTAACCAAAACCCTTAAAGATAATTTTTCTTAACACTAGAGACACAGAAGCCAGCTATGGTGGCTCACACCTGTAATCCCAGCTACTCAGAACACTGAGGCAAGAGGATTTCAAGTTTAAGGCCATGCTGGACAACTTAGTAACGGTTGTCTCAAAATAAAAAAGGCTAGGGTGGAGTACTTGCCCAACATGTGCAAGGCCCTGAGTTCAACCCCCAGTACCACTTAGAGGGTGAGAGAGATTAGGAGATTAACATCAGGAGGAGAGAAATTCTGGAAGTGGGTAGTTAAGCTTGAAAAAGAAATGGGTCTGGGGCCAGGGATTTAGCTCAGTGGTTTTGCCGCCTGCTGCACAGGCACAAGAACTCAAGTTCAATTCCCGGTACCAAAAAAAAAAGAAAAGAAAAAGAAATGGGTCTAGCTAAGCGGTGAATTGGAAATATACATCTACTTTTGCTCCCTCCCAAAACTCTACAAAAATCACAATAAAACAATATATAACTGAGCCGGGGATTTAGCTCAGTGGTTCTGCCTTCTGCCCCACAAGTGCAAGGGCCCGAGTTCAATCCCTGGAACCAAAAAAACCCCAAAAACTGTGAGACCAGGATAAATCCAAGAAATGCCATCTTGGCCTGGAGATAAACTCCCCTCATACCCCTCCCCTTATAAAGTAGATGATTTTTGTAACTGCTTGTTCTGCTTTTGTAAACTTGCTTCATCGCTTCTCGGGGATAGTGCCTGGTGCCTCCCTTTACTGTAAAATGCCTTAACCTGACACAACAAGATAGCTGAGTTGGAAAAAATTACTTTTGCAACTAGTCAAAAACATGTTAACCTCCCCTTGAACTTCTCTTCTTAAAATAACACCTATAAAAGCTATGCTGCTGTAACACCCTATATAAATTGTGCTGTTCCTGGACTCAGGGCTTCACTTTGCTTAGGGAGTAGAGTCCACACATGTAAATAAACTCCTTTCAG